TTTGAGGGAGCAGCTTTGCCCATGGTAAACACTGACAAAAGTCAGCCATTGTCATTATTAGTAGGTTTGGATCCATCCCCTCATTTACAGAGTTTCAAAGCTGCCACATTATTATTACCGCCTCCTGTAAAGTAGCAACTTTTGTCACTTTTCAAACATTATAAAGAAAGCTGGGATTTAAACCTAAGCAGTCTGACACCAGGTTAAATTCTCTAAAGGCTAAACCACCGCACGATGCTACATGTAAAAGAAATTGAGCGTCTTGTGAGCAACATTGCTAGTAAGTATCAGATGCAAGGCCCCAGTCTGTGCCTCCAGATTTTAAGTAGTCCGTAGTCCACTCTACCATGATGTCTGATCTATTTAATCACATGTTTGGTTTGTAGCTCATCTTCCTGAGTGACATTGCACCTCTCTTGAAGACAGAAAATATTATCATCTCTTTCCCTTGTAAATCCTCTGGAGAGCTGCTCTAGTGAATAAGTTGTCAATACATGTATTGATTACAACCCTAAACCTTAAAAGGAAAAACCCAAAGTCAATGAGGAAATACGTATGTATTTGACTTTCTAAAACATGTTTATCATTATCTTTAAAAAAGAAAAAACAGGCTCGGCGCCTATAGCTCAACCAGCTAAGGTGCCAGCCACGTACACCTAAGGTGGCGGGTTCGAATCCCCAGCCCAGACCTGCCAAACAACAATGACGGCTGCAACCAAAAAATAGCCAGGCGTTGTGGTGGGCGCCTGTGGTCCCAGCTACTTGGGAGGCGGGGGCAGGAGACTAGCTTGAGCCCAGGAGTTGGAGGTTGCTGTGAGCTGTAATGCCACGGCACTCTACCTAGAGGGACAGCTTGAGGCTCTGTCTCAAAAAGAAAAAGAAAAAACAGCAACATAATACTCTACTTTTACCTCTGGGAAGATTGGCTGTTAAGCAAGCAGGAATATTTCCCTGGTTCCTTTTTTATCCTCCTCTACCCCAGAAAAGCTTCTCATCTCTATAAATATGTGACCTAATGATCAGTCACTGGTTTCATGACAGGTGGTTAAATGTGATTTTGATATTACTCAAAGGGTACAGCTGATTAATCAGAACATGGCATTGGGTAATCACTGTTCAAAGCTAATAGTGTAATGAGAGGTAATGTGCTGTACTTGGATTTGATGAGTTGCAGCCAAATCTGGTGGGTGGAAAAAAGTTGTAAAACACGCACTGGAGAAGAACCTTCCTTTGAAAGGTTGCCTTTGAGTTACCCTAACAAAGCATTCATTCCCACTTTAGCTAAATGTTTTTCTTTAAATGTTTTTTGTTACTGGCTGTGTCTTATGCAGGCTTTTTTTTTTTTTAAACAGAATTTCACTTGGTCACCTTTGGTAGAGTGCCATGGCGTCTACCATGCTCATAGCAACCTCAAACTGTTCGGTTAAAGTGATCCTCTAGCCTCAGCCTTCCAAGTAGCTGGGACTACAGGCACCGGCCACAACGCCTGACTATTTTTTAGAGATAGGGTCTCGCTCTGGCTCAGGCTGGTTTCTGTGAGCTCAGGCAATCCACCCACCTCAGCCTCTCAAGTGCTGGGATTACAGGTGTGAGCCACAGCACCCGGCCTTGTGCAGACATTTTGAGATTGAAAGAAGTTCAGTTATATAAGAAGAGATGAATGAGAATATGATTTTAATGATTGCTGTGCAAGTTGATGAAAGCCACACATCAGTGATAGTCATCATCACTAAAATTACTATTGTGTGCAATTTTCTAACCTGGTCGTAGGGAATACAAATTCATATTTTTGAATGACTTGTTTTACATTCCTTGCTGGTATTGTACTTGGACTCCATCAGAAGTTTTTGGCTAAGGAACTTGTACCTTTTCCCTCACATCTTTCCTACACATAAAACTAAGCCTTTGCTCCATTTTGCTACATCAGAATTGCTGGGGATGTGAAAATGTAAGAAGAAACTGCAGAGCTGTAGTCCTGCTCCTGGCACTTGCCTGGGTAACGCAGGTCCTCCTCATCTCTCTGATCCTGTTTATTCTGTAGGACAGAGATTTTTATCAGCCTTTCGTGATTGTTGTGAGAAGTAAATAAATAGTATGTGTGGAACACAAGGTCCATAATAAACATTTAGTAAAGGTTCATTTCCTTCCTTTTTAATGTATAAGTTATACTTCCCGCTAGAAGTGGTAGTTTTATCATTTTCTAAAATAGTGGGAGTTTGAATGCAAAAACATTAGAATATCAGCTTTAAAACATACAAATGAGAGACTGCTGGAAAAAAAGAATTTACTTGGAAACTGAGCCTCCCGCCTGCTCTGCAGCTCTCCTGGTGAGAATGGAAATTCCTTGTGGCTTGGAGGCAAGCCACTGTAGGCCACCGAGTGAACAAAACAAGACTGTCGTGGCATTACTTTGTTCCTTGGTGACGTGACGTATAAGAACTCTCTTTTGTTGTTTTGTGATGTCTCTGAGTATGTGGACACAATGAGTGCATTTAACTTTGATTATAAACATTTTGTTAATCTCAATTAGCCATCTTCAGAATGGATAGATACACATACCCCGGAGGTTGCACCAATGATCAGTCTGTAGGAAAAAAATATTACAGCTTTATTTATTCATTTAAAAATGAAGTAGGCTGGGTGCATCAGCTCAGGCCTAAAATTCCAGCACTGTGGAAGGCCAAGGTGGGAGGATTGATTGAAGCCCAGAGTTTGAGACCAGTCTAGGCAGCATGGTAAGACTCTATCTCTATAAATAAAAGTTTTTTTTTAAATTAGCCAGATATGGTGGCATACGCCTGTAGTCCTAGTGGCTTGAGAGGTTGAGACAGGGATGGCTTGAGCCCAAAAGTTAGAGGTTGCAGTGAGCTGTGATCAAGCCTCTGCACTGCAGCCTGAGCAAGGAAGCCCTGTCTCTAAAGAATAAACAAATAAATAAAAATTAAGAGATTTAGTTTTACCAGTAGTCTCAGCATTCACAGCCTGCCAGAATCTACTGTCAGCTGTGGAGTCCAGCTATCCCAAGGGAAGAGACAGGTGAAGTTCTTCCACTCACAGGGTTGTCGGACATGCGCTTACTTTCTCATTCACTTTAAGTTTATTGTGGCGTATGGGTTCCTGGTTATAGCACGTCTGTTTCATTAAAACCACAAAATGTTCTGTTACCCCATAGATTGAAAAAAAGAAAAAAATCAATTTGCATACCTGCTGTGTCTAAATTTTTCTAAGAAAATTTTAATTTCAGACTCCTCAAAGAAGCTTAAAATCTGACTTAGGGCTCGTTGCCTGTGGCTCAGTGGGCTAAGATGCCAGCCACGTACACCCAAGGTGGTGGGTTCGAATCCAGCCTGGCCCGCCAAACAACAATGACGGCTGCAACCAAAAAATAACCGGGCGTTGTGGCGGGCGCCTGTGGTCCCAGCTACTTGGAAGGCTGAGGCAGGAGACTTGCTTGAGCCCAGGAGTTGGAGGTTGCTGTGAGCTGTGATGCCACTGCACTCTACCCAGGGTGACAGCTTGAGGCTCCTGTCTCAAAAAAAAAAAAAAAAATCTGACTTAGGAAAAACAAGATCCATAACCACTTATTGAAAATCCAACTTGTTGTGGACAAAATAAGTGACTTGCAAAGGAGCTAGCAGTGGCAGCAAGTAAAGAAATAATTTTCCTGGAAATAAATGATTTATCTGGACTCCGAAGCAGAATCACCGTCTATCTTCTGCCTTTGTTTTAGTCACGGCCACAGAGTTGTGCGCCACATGCTTGTTAATGGTCCCAGCTCCAGCTAATTCTCTTTCCTTTGCAGAACAAATGTATTTCAGTGGCATTTCTGTAATGTACTGTCCACTAGAACAATTTAAAGTTATTGTACTCTTAAACGATATTTAGAAGTGCAATTCTAAAAGAAAATGCATAAAAATGTTTGTGAAGAATTGTTTATAACTTCATATATTTTACCTAGAAAATAGAAAACATATGAAAGGAAATGTTAAACTTTTAAAAATCACAATGAATGTTTATATTTTTGCATGTCTGACTGTAAACACCTAGATGTTATCCTCTTAAATAAAAGGTTTACAGTCTTCTTGATTTATTATTACTATAATTTTTTAAGTGATTTGCAAAAAGAAAATGATGACATTCTGCTAGTTTTGTTGTTGTTGTTGTTGTTGTTGTTGTTGTTGTTTTGGTAGAGACAGAGTTTCACTTTATTACCCACGGTAGAGTGCCGCAGCGTCACACAGCTCCCAGCAACTCCAACTCCTGGGCTTGGGCGATTCCCTTGCCTTTGCCTCCCGAGTAGCAGGGACCACAACACCCAGCTATTTTTTTGTTGCAGTTTGGCCGGGGTCGGGTTTGAACCCGCCACCCTCAGTATATGGGGCTGGCGCCCTATCCACTGAGCCACAAGTGCCGCCCACATTCTGCTAGTTTTTAGAGACAGTGTTATGTCTTGCCTACATAGTTTAGGCTGTGGTGTAACATGGAAAAAAGTAATTATAGGTTACTGTTGATTATCCCTGGTGATCAGGGAGAAGGGTAATATGGATAAATGAAATTCATAGGTAAACCTCAAAGTATCATTTTAGCCATTAACTTCAAATTCCTTCCTATTAAGCCCCTACTCCCTTTTTTTGGAGAGAGCATCTTGGTATTAAGCCTCTGACAGGCATTAAGGCTTAGTTTTCTCCTCCTACCTTCTGCTGGGTACTGCTGAAATATAGATGAAATATAAATGCAAGGTCGAAAGCACGAGAAAGAGCAGAATTCAAAGGCTACTTAATTCACAGAATGAATTAATCAGCCCTGAATATTCAGGGGTTGACTCTGATTTGGCCACCAAACCCAAAAGAAAGGATAGTGTTTGGGAGGGCTAGTGAATTAAAAGCCAGGTCACTCTGGAATTGGAATTGTGATAGTTTGTCTACCATGTGAGAAAGGCGTCTACTGAAAAATACACCTTACACATGTACTTGTTTTAAAAATTGCACTTTACTTTACAGGTGATCACCTTCTTTAGTTCAAGATTGCTGCAGGCTGGAGCTGAGCTGTCGGTGGAACGGGTCCTGGAAATCATTAAGCAGGGTGTTGTCGCACTGCCCAAAGACAGACTAAAGGTAAGACGGCTAAAGAAACACTCGGTTGGCCCTTACGGCTGTCTCACTTACTGTCCGCGTCTGAGCAGGCTCTGTTCAAAATCGTAAACAGTCTCAGAACTGTAATGAGAAAGGTTTCTGACAGGTTTTCAAAAGAAAATAGCAAAAAAAGGACTAATACCTTCAGTCCACTGCTATTTTTTGAGGTACCACTGCATATACTCTGTGTAATTTATACGTTATTAATAAAGGGCTATGTTATTTTTTTAAGCTAGTGAGACAAATTCAGTCTTATAAGTAACATCAAGGGTTGACGGGAGGTGTGATGATGGTGATGATGACCGTGGTAACTAGTGCACAGTGATAGTGCCACGTGGGGTCGTGTGTCATCAGCTCATTTTGTCTTCACACCAGCTCTTTGAGGTAGCTGGTGTTACCATCCTAATTTTTCAGATGAGAAAGTGATGTACAGAGAGGTGAAGACATTTATCCAAAGCCATACATCTAGACAATGATGGAGCCTGGGGGATTTATATCCCATAAGTCTGGCTCCGAAGTCCATGGTCGTAATCGGCGTACTGTTTACCATGTGTTTAGGATATGGGTAGGGGAAATACTCTATTCTAAGAAGGTATTTACATTTACACAGTGGATATATTCCTAAAGTGATCTCATGATATAAAACTCATACTTCAACACTAAGTATCCCATCAGATAAGAAGTAAAGGGGATATTTGGGGAGATGAATGTACAGCATTGAGGTGTAATTTTACTTTGCTGCTACTTTTTAGTTTTTTTCCTTCATTAGCTCTGATTTTTAGAGTGCTTTCTCCTAGATTAACAGCACAGGATGTCCCAGTGGCTATTTGGCCTTCTTCACGGGGTTTTATCACGGCTCACTTCTGTTCCAATGTTACTATTTGGGAGCTGTGTTTTCAGCCCTATCACTAGAACCACTGCTTAATGAATGCTTGAGAGATATTGTTGCAGGATATAAAAATATTTTCAGTTATAATAACAGAGTTTGTGAAATAACAGCCCATTAGTCATCACAGTCACTTACAGAAGTTCCACTGTACATAAATAGCAGTGAGATTCACACAGCTCTGGGCAAAGATGGCAGGTGTTTCTGTTTATCAGCCATAGTGGCACCACCATGTGGTTGGTAATAGCAGAAAAACAGTTCACAGCTTTGACATAATTTTATTCCTGAAAGTTTTTAAATGTAAGGAATTCATATTTTTTCCATATTTACACAAAGTAAGATATTGGCCGGTTGGTTGGTTTTTATTTGGGGGGCACAATTTCCAATTTACTTCAACTATACTGTATGAACCAGTACAAAAATGCACAAAGATTAGAATGGCTGCTCCCAGGAAATGATAGATCTTGGGGTCTAAGCTAAATCAAGAAAAAGGTAGAGAATCAAGAGAAAAGGAGAACTCAAAAGGGTCAGGGAAAAGGGGATCTTGATAAGATCAAAGAACCAGCACAGTGAAAGTAATGGAGATTATCATGAGAGAGCAATGTGTTTAGATTTCAGATTTAAAAAGGAGAACAGATCATGGTGATAACTTTGGATTTTGCCGTGAGTATGGGGGACTGAAGTGGTACGGATATGAATGAAAATCACTGTAATTAAGCCAGTTAATGAACTAGGAGCTTAGAACTGGTCATTCACATAAGCATCGTAGTCATCCAGGATGATGACAGGCCATGGGGTGGAGAGAAAGACTAAGAGCCCCATGCTCCTAAATGGGACAGTGTCCTAGAAGTCAGGAAGGGGCAGCCACCAGGAGTAGAAGAGGTACCAGCCTCATAAGCACAGAGCTTTGTGCTTAAGGGTTGAGGAATAATAACCAAGAAATGGCAGTGAAAGCAAGGAGGACACCAGCTCTACCTCCAGATCCCGAAGGATATGGAATATAGAAGAATGAGCAACCTCTACTTGCAAAGGCTCCAGCGGGATCCGAGTCCTAGGGGGAGGCCAGATTTTAGTCTAAGAAGTGGTAAGGAAGGACGATCCAGTGCAAGAACTAAGAATAACCACAAAACAGAGGTGTAGAAAAGGCATGGGGGCAGGGAGAAGCAGGAGAGTGGATGGGGAGAGAAAGCACAAAGCAACATGAGGACCAAAGGATGGCCGGCTGGAATGACCAGTGGATAAGGACAGATGACACTTCAGGTTGAAGCTTTTTAACAGTGTTCCATCAGCACTGAGTGAATCTTTGTCCAGTATCTGCTCAGTGACAGCCATTGATTGCCCTACGCACCTGGGCTACACCAGCGAGCAGAGAGATCCTTCCCTCCCAGGGCTCACAGACCAGCAAGAGAAGTCAGAAGATAGACAGTAAGCCTGAAAAATAATGGAGGCTCTAGAGCACTAAGAGGTAAAAAGTGCCATGGGAAATAAAGAAAAATTAGAGCTGGTTAAGAGGTTGGGGAGAATCAGTGAGGGTAGGGTAGGAGAAAGTTGTAGAATTACAAAGGATGGTCTGGGCAACATTGAGCAAAGATAAGGAGGAGGTGAAGGAGCTTGACATGGGGATACTGGAGGAGAGCTCCGAGCGTAAAACAGCCCCTGGAAATGTCCCTGGGCAGGAGGACATCAGGCATGTTGCAAAGATAGCAAGAAGATGGACCATGGTAGGTAGAGCTGTGTGATTAAGGGGGGGAGTAGCAGGAGATGGAGAGATGATGAGGGTGGGGTGTGCCATATAGACAGTTTTGATAATGTTGACTTCTTTTCTGAGTGAAATGGGGTACCAGCGCAAGATTTAGAGGAGTGGCATGATGGGGTTTATACTGTGTTGCGACAGAATCATTCTGGCTACTGCCTTGAGAAGCTGAGGGACCAGCTAGAATACTCTGGCTTGTTACATCATTACACTGTAAAAGAATTACTAAGGGTTTCATTTTATGCCAGAGTGCAATGGGTAGAAATTGGACCAAGACAGGTATTATAATGATAATGTTCAACCTAAGGAAATGCTTCTAACTACTGAAGTTTAGCAGTCGATATGTGGCTTCATGAAATACTTCATGAACACCTCACGGGGGATGTGTTCTCGGTGGTCTGGATGGTAAATATAAGAAGAGCACTGGGGAGAAAAGGTTGTAAGAGTTCCTGCCAATAAAAAGTTAGGATGAACCCAAAGATTTCTAGTAATTCTTAACGGTCTAGAATTCTGTTAGAATTCTGTGGTGGGTCTTAATAATAGTACAGCAGTGCTCTAGTGACTCTTCCCTCCTCTTCAGAAATATTCAGAGGCCAATGCTCTGTTGCCACTAGATAAAGTTTGGAGTCTTGAGACTGGAATTGTGGGGCATTCACGGTCCAACACCAACCTGCTGCCCAGTCTGTCCTCTTCCTACTTCCTTCACTGCTCCAACCAACCAGAACCAGACCTATGCCTTTTACTTCTTCCTGTTGGATTTGCTGACACACTTCTCTCTTCTCAATATGTCATTCTCCTGCCTTTGCTTTTTGCTCACCCAAATTCTGAACATTTTTAACCACTTTTGTGAAACCTTTTAATCCTCAATCGGCACCTGCCTCTCCCACAAAATCCCTCTAGCACTTTGTGCCTCCATCTGGTGAGCCTTTGTCCTCTTCTGACTTGGGTTTAGTTATTTCAATGTTTGTCTCTCCCACTGAACTGTAACCTCCTTTAGAAGAGGTCATGTCTTACTCTCTGCATCCCCTTGATGCCTAGGTCAACGTCTTGTACGTAGCAGTTGCTCGATAAATGTAATGAGTAAATAAACGAAAAGCTCGCTTTATGCCCTCGAAAGAGGAAATGGGAACTTAGATTTTGAGAGGTTGGGAATGAAATTTTCTGTCTCTAGACCTGCTTTTCTAGCTTTTATTCTGTATCCTGTTTGGAAGTTTAATTCATACAACTGTCTATCCCTGTATGTGCCAGGCACTGTCCCAGACACTGAATACAGCAGGAGACAAAACAGACAAAACCCCCTGCCCTCTTGAGCTTAGTTTTGTGAAGAAGTAAGATAATAGGATAAATAGGTAAAATAGATGCTATTTACATATTTGTAAATAATAAGAAAGAAATAAAGGTGAGGAGGATGGCCGATGTTGGAAGGGAACTGTTTAGATAGGATGGCCGGAAGAGAACATGTTTGAGCCAGTGCTGTTTACCTTCTGGTTTTCTATATTTTATTGTTAAATAATTTTAGACTTACAGAAAAGTTGCAAAATTAGTAGAGAGTTTATTTAAACCCTTTGCCCAGCTTCCCTTAATATTGACACTCTTTCTAACTATAGCACTATTACCCAAATCTGAAAATTAGCATGACTACAATATTGTTAACTAAATCACAGACCTTAGTTGAATTTTACCAGTTTTTTTCTCCTGATGCCCTTTTTTCTGTTCCAGAATTCTATCCAGCATTTTACATTGCATTCAGTAGTATCGCCTTAGTCCCCTGTCTGTTCCTGGTCTCTTATTATCTTTTATAACCTTGACATTCCTGATTAATATAGCTTATTTGGTAGAATGTCTGTCTGTTTAAATTTTGCTTCTATTTTCTGATGATTACATTGAACTTAGGCATATTTGGCAAAAATCTCACAGAAGCGTTGTGGCCTTCTCAGTGCTTCACATCAGGAGGTGCATGATGTCAGCAGGTTTCATCACAGTGATGTCATAAGGGTGATTCAGTCAGTGGGATGTCTGCCAGGTTTCCCTAGTGAACAGTGACAGCTTTGCCTTCATAACTGATAAATATCTTGGGGACTTTGCTGGCATCCTGTTTCTCCTAACACTTCTGCCCTCTGACTTTATCAGACATTGGTAGATCTTACTACACACCATTATTACTCTGACGTTTACCTAATGATGATTTTGTATTTTATCCTATAAGTTATCATTCAACATGATCATTTATTCTGTTGCTCAAAGTACTCTCCTGTGACCACGGGACTTCTCCAGGTTCCTGTGCCATTTCTCATGCCCCATCGTGTTTGGAGTATTTCTTTACTTTCAGGCTCCACAAGATGC